GTACAGTGTATTGGGAACCCCTTAGGCAGTACAGTGTATTGGGAACCCCTTAGGCAGTACAGTGTATTGGGAACCCCTTAGGCAGTACAGTGTATTGGGAACTGATTAGGCAGTACAGTGTATTTGGAACCCCTTAGGCAGTACAGTGTATTGGGAACCCCTTAGGCAGTACAGTGTATTGGGTTACTGCTTAGGCAGTACAATGTATTTGGAACCACTTAGGCAGTACAATGTATTGGGAACCACTTAGGCGGTACTGTGTATTGGGTTACTGCTTAGACAGTACAGTGTATTTGGAACCCCTTAGGCAGTACAGTGTATTGGGAACCCCTTAGGCAGTACAGTGTATTGGGAACCGCTTAGGCAGTACAGTGTATTGGGAACCGCTTAGGCAGTACAGTGTATTGGGTTACCGCTTAGGCAGTACAGTGTGTATTGGGAACCCCTTAGGTAGTACAGTGTATTGGGGAACCCCTTAGGCAGTACAGTGTATTGGGGAACCGCTTAGGCAGTACAGTGTATTGGGAACTGCTTAGGGCAACAACATCATGGCATGTAGTATAAAAACACAAGTATAAAAAAAGGAGGTATGCAATCACAAGCACAATAATTCTGCACCCCCCCCAACCCCACCCTGCTTCCCTAAACACCCCCAATGCCCCCCCCCAGGAGAGAAGGAGAGAGACTCACCATCCCAGCTCCCTTCCCTGAGTCTCATGGCCGCTCCCTCGGCTCCACTCACTCTGCTCTTCCACCTTTGGCCTAGCCCCAGTGAATTGTATTGGGTTACCGCTTAGGCAGTACAATGTATTTGGAACCGCTTAGGCAGTAGAGTGTATTGGGTTACCGCTTAGGCAGTACAATGTATTGGGTTACCGCTTAGGCAGTACAATGTATTGGGTTACCGCTTAGGCAGTACAATGTATTGGGTTACCGCTTAGACAGTACAATGTATTGGGTTACCGCTTAGACAGTACAATGTATTTGGAACCGCTTAGGCAGTACAGTGTATTGGGTTACCGTTTAGGCAGTACAGTGTATTGGGAACCCCTTAGGCAGTACAATGTATTTGGAACCGCTTAGGCAGTACTGTGTATTGGGTTACTGCTTAGACAGTACAGTGTATGTTGTTGTGCCCAGAACAGTCATAGAGGGGAAATCTTCCAATGGGGACTCTAGTTCTGGTGACAACCAGTGATTCTCTCACTTTGGAGGGATTTTCCCTCACTTCCTGTTTTGCTATGGGACAGGAAGTGAAGGGTAAACTCCATAATGGGATGGAGGTGGGAAAAAAAATTAACAGGGGTTTTTATCCTCCCTCCTCCAAAATAGAAAAAACGTTTTAACTCTAGTTCTACCTTAACATCTGACATTTGCAGCTTTGAAATCTCTTGGAGCTTCCTGGGAACTCGGGACAAGCACTTGGGTTTGGCTCCAGAGTCGGTTCGAAACCCATGCTCGGCTGAACCTGAGAAGTAGCTGTCATTGCCGCACCAATGAGTTGCAGTGATGTCAGTAACCTAATATAGCCATGTAGCCATATTAGGGTAATGATGTCACCAGCATCCCTGCCCCATTGTGTATGTGAAGCCGCGGGGTGGGGAATTCCCCACCTGCACCTCATTGGCCCGACACTGACAGCTGCCTTTTGGGTTCATCCACGCTCCTCCCTGCTGGTAACACATGTTGTCTTCCAGCTCCTGAGTAACCATAACAGGGTAAAGCAAAGCCAACAGTGGTTTACATTCTTTAAAAATACAAGGCGTTGTTCTGTGATACTGTTATGTACACTGCACTCTGCTGAGCTATCCTAAAATGTAGAGAGCGCTGCAACTGAACGGGGTCTATAATTAACACTAGGGAAAAGGTTCGGGTTTGCTGCCGCCATGGGTTTGTGGTGAATCCATTGGGATTGAGATTCACAATCCAGGTGCACTTTTGTGCATAGGTCACGCAGTACATAAATAATGCATTGCACGGCTTTTGAACTATGACCATCAGGCTTGAAGGGCCCACACAGAGGGCTTTTGGATAGAGCACCTTCATTATATATCTCCTAGATTGTAAGCTCTAACGGGGAGGGCCCTCTGTTTCCTCTTGTACCAAATTGTATTGTAATTTTAATGTCTACCTTCATTTTCTAAAGTGCTGCGCAAACTGTTGGCGCTATATAAATCCTGTATAATAATAATTATATATATATATATATATATATATATATATATATATATATATATGAGTCTGCAAAAAGTTTCCGCACTTTAATCCATATACTGTACACGGCTCAAAAAAATGTAAGTAACAATTTTTAATCAGAGTATAGTATGTTGGCGCTATATAAATCCGGTATAATAATTATTATTATTATTATTACTACGAGTTTATATAGCGCCAAAGGGTTTGCTCAGCGCTGTACAATAGGGGGGGGACAATACATGGCACAGTACAACAAAGACAGACAGCGTACGAGGGGTAAGAGGGCCCTACTCTTACGAGCTTAATAATAATAAAAGTAGGGGGGGAGACACAGAGCAGCCACAGTGTCAGCATATTGGAAGCCTGTGGGAGGAAGATGATAGGAAAAGCTGACAATCTTCATAGAGAGAAAGATTAGGTAAAGGTTGGAAACTGTACTTTAACCCTGATTGCTAGATATTCGGATAATCCCCTTTTTTTTTTCTTTTTCATTAGGGACTTTTTTGTCTTTCGTTTTTATTTTATGGTTGATTTGAGGTCAGTGTTTTTTCAGCTGCTCTCACGTGCATAGTAAACATTCTTTCTTGCTGAAACATTTTGAATTCCTTTCAATTTCTGTTCGATATGAATGGTCAACAGGACAAATAGTGAGGGTGAATTGGCCAACAATAAAATATCTGACGGGTTCTAACTCATTTCTTATTCTATCCAAAAGCTAGAAAAAAAAAATGTTTTGGCTGGAGTTATACTTTAGACATGGGGGACATCAAGCTTTTTTTTTTAAACCGAATCGATCACATAATTATCTAACCATGTAATATTCAGAAAAAGTTCAAATATCTATTTGGTGTGAACTGACCTTTTAAGCACAATGATATTGTTTGTTGTATTTATGTTTTAGCTGTCATTTTAAAGTGGTTGTAAACCTGTTTATCTGCGGTCTTCTCTTCTCTACAGTCGTTCAAGGTGCATAATTTATAAAGTTTGTCTGAGAGTTCAGAAAAAAGGGGGCAGAGAGCTGAAATTACACACTGCAGAGCTCAGTAACCCTAGGTTCACACCTAAGCGTTTTCTGCAGCATCTTGCGTTTTGCAGAAACGCAGTACAGTCCATTTAACATGATTTCCTATGGGACATGTTCACAACTCTGCATTTTCACCCGCTGCTTTTTTGGAAAGAGTCAGGGACTTTTTTTTAATGCAAAACGTTTCATTTTTGGTTCCATAGACTTCAATGAGAACGTTGCAGATAAAGCATATATTTCGTTTTGCTGCATTTTTGATATGTTTTGTGTTTAAAACCTGCCTAGCAACAAGAAAAATTTAAAAAAATGAAATAAAAATGTAAAACACATCAAAAACCTGGCAAAAACACAACGCAACATGCAATTCAGAAACGCCTCAAAACGCAACCTGCATAGGTGTGAACCTAGACTTAGGAGAGCTCTGAGAGCTGATTGGAGTGGATAGACACACACAGCACACCAGGAAAGAGCTGCGGCTCTTAATCACAGGCTGTGTGTTGGAGCTCCCTTTGCTGTCACCATTTTTCTCTTGGTGTCAGGAAAACTTGTCAGAAGTGACTCGTACAGAAAGCAGAGGAAGGAGGCAGCTGACAGAAATGACACTTAATGCTCCTAATTGAGACAAGTACACACTATAGAAGGAGATGCTTTGTTCATATTTCATGTCTAAGGTTTACAAGCACTTTAAGGCATTTTCACATGAGGACAATATCTAATTGTTGTGAACTGTTTCAGTGGGTTGCTGGAGACAAAGCGATCACTATGTGTGAGGTGGTGGTTTGTGATACCTCTGTGCAAGTGAAATTTGGAAGAATCACATGTGAAAAGACAGACGCCATAGTAAACCCCACCAATGCAACGCTGGATCAAAACACTGGTAAGACTTTGCAAAAAACTTGTTATACGGGTTTCTTTGGTTGGTTTTTAGGGTGTGACTCATAATGGCTGGTAAGCAGGTGATCTCTACGCAGACAAATAGGTACATTGATGAACTATTAGATAACACTTTTCCACCTCGCTGGATTATGTCAAAAGTAAGTTTTATGGTTAAAGTAGCATTAAACCCGAAAACATTTTTTAACTTAACATATTGAGCACAATAAAAATAAAAACATTCCCCAGTAAACTATTTGCTAAAATTCCCACCCCAGCTTTCAATGCTGCTGACTCCTGCTTTCAGTTCTGCTTTCCTGAAGTTTCTGTTTTCACAGAAAAGAGTCAACAGTTGACAGTCCAGCCTTCAGCTAGCTAGTCTGTTAGTTTGGAGAAGGAGGGGGGAAGGGGATGAGGAGGGAGGAACAGTGCCATCCTAGGCCATGCTGCTGTGGGTTTCTATTGATGCACACAGTGTAGAGAGACAAAACTCTAGTCCCTGCATGCAAGGGTGGATGTATAGGACACTGCAAGAGAAAAGGAACCACCCTGAAGGAAAACACCTGGGACAATGGTCAAGGCACTGAAACATGCCGCATATTGCTCAGACAGTTTACCCGATCAATATTTGCATTAATGTGGGACTAAACTGTATCTGAGCATCACAAACTGGACACACTATTCAACTCATTTTAACCTCTAGCCTACAGGGCACTTATACCCCCCTTCCTGCCCAGGCCAATTTCCAGCTTTCAGCGCTGTCATGCAACACTGTACCCATATGAAATTTTTATCATTTTTTTGTGACAGAGCTTTATTTTGGTGGTATTTAATCAACTCTGGGTTTTTTTATTTTTTCTTAAACACTGAAAATTTTGGAAAAAAATGTTTTTTTCTTTGGTTTTGTTTATAAAATTTTGTAAATAAGTGATTTTTCTCCTTCACTGATGTGCGCTAATGAGGCTGCAGTGATGGGCACTGATAGGCTGCACTGATGGACACTGAAAGACAGCACTGATATATGGCACTGATATATGGCACTGTTAGTCGGCACTGACTGGCACTGTTAGGCGGCACTGATGCGCACTGATAGGTGACACTGACTGGCACTGCTAGGTGACACTGAAAGGCAGCTCAGATGGGCACTGATATGTGGCATTGATGTGCACTGGTAGGCACTGATATTTGGCATTGATGTGGCACTGATGGGCACTGGCACGTGACATTGATGAGCAGAGACAGCTGGCACTGATGGACACTGACAGGTGGCACTGCTGGGGCTACACTGATCATCAGGGCACACTGGTCATCAGTGCTCTGATGATCAGTGTAGATGTCCCCTCCGCAGAATGTCGATTACCGGCTCTCCTCTCCTCTTGAGCTGTCAGCGTGACAGCTCGTGGGGAGAGAAATGCAGATAACCGTAATTTCCCTGTTTACATGTGATCAGCTGTGATTGGACACAGCTGATCACATGACCGAGCCGACATCTTCGGCTCTGTCCGTGGATTGGTGATCCGCTGTGTCCGAGGGACACAGCGCACTGCCGATCGCCACGCTGCGCGCTATGGGAGCCGCACATGCGCAGTTAGAATGGGAGGGAGTCATATGACGTCCTCCCAGAATGAGAGAACCACCTTGCGTCCATCATATTACTATATGGCGGGCAGGAGGTGGTAAATATTCAAAGCAAGCTCACCCAACCATCCATGTATCCATGCTTTATTTCGCTGAGAAATCACTTTGAAAAACTTTTCTAGCCACAGCCATTTTGAGTAAGGGCAGATGATTCATGTAGCTTTTACTTCTTGGAATCCATGTGCCCTTAGTTGGAGGCTGGAGGGTGTGCTTAGATAAAGCCCCTCCTCCCCTGCTCCAGATGAAGGAAAAAATGCCCATGAAATACTCCTGGTATTTATGACATCATTTTTGGCCTAGGCCAAAAACCAGGAAGTACCTGAAGAAATGCAAAAGATAAGGTTTTAAACAAGTAAATATAATATACCTTCCTATCTATTCTCATGTAATTTGCCTACTCCTTGACTGTCTCCTGCAACATGTCCCCAGTCTCCAACTCCTACAACCCCTTGTGTAGTCTTTGACCACCTCTTGTAGCTTGTCTACACTCTGACAGTTATGTAGTATCACATTCACTGCATATTATGTGTAGACCTTGGGTGGACCTAAATCAGAAATGTTAACCACCACTGTTCTAAATAGCCATGTGCAGAACGAAAAAAATTAGTTTTGTTTCGGATTGATTCATTAAGTCACTAATTTTGTTGCATTTGTAAACAAAATTTGTTTCATTTAGTTTGTTCGTTTTTGACCAGTTTCAAAATTTTCCAATGGATTCGAAGTATTCAAATCGAAAATATTGGATCGATCCAAATTTATTGTGAAGAATAGCTGGTTCTATTGTATTCAAAATTTGAATTTCGGAAGGCGGCTATAATCTTTCTATTGTATTTTCTAATTTTTATATTTTTTATTATAATTTGATAATCTTTTTTATTTTTTTTCTATTTTATTTTTTTTATTTTTTTTCTATTATTTTCTACTCAATATATTATTATCTGTTTTATTCTATTCTTTTTTTTGAAATTTGAATTTTGGAAAATGGCTATATTCTTTCTATTTTATTCTATTCAAATTTCAAACTTCGAAAGACGACTATATTCTTTCTATTTTATTCTATTCTATGCTAATCTGTTCTATTTTTTCTATTCTATTATTTTATATTCTATTCCATTCTGATATAATCTATTCTTTTCTTTTCCATTCTATTCTATTCTTTTATTTTCTATTTAATTTTTTAATCAAATTCGGATAATTCATATTTTCTGACATTTTGTTTTGTTATTTCAGATTTCTTTAAACATGTAACTATTGTAATTTGGAAATTTGAATGCAGCATAACGAAAATTTAGTTTGAATTTTGATTCGGAATGAAATGAACTGCACACTGGCACTCTCCTAAATGCTTTTCTCCTGACAGGAAAAAAGCAGCTGTAAAAAAGCGCCTGAGATGTGTTTTTGTAAATGCGTTTAGGCACGTTTATGCATGTCAGGTGTTTGTGAATTTCTTAGTCTCATTGGCCAGAATAATAATTTATTCTGGCCATTTAAACGGAAAAAAAACCACCCCTAGTGCATAGGTGAGTTTTTGCGTCTTTTGGCATTTTTTTTTATGCCAAAACACTCCTCTTCTAAATTCAGAAGGAAAGGGTTTTTTTCTTCCTCCAAACACCCCTTCCTCTTAACTCCTCTAAACACCTATGTGTTCATGGACAACATGGAGGGGCGTTTATTGGCAGCGAAAAAAATTCAGAATGCCACAAGGCTTCACTGCCGGTTTTCCTTAACTAAGATGCCAGTACCTTGAACCAATGCTGGTTGAAGAATTGGCTGAGGTGAGGACATCACTGGATCCCTGGACAGGTAAGTATCCTTTTAATAAACGTCAGGAGCTACAGTATTAGTATCTGCTGACTTTAAATTTTTGGGGGGAGACTGGAGCTCCTCTTTAAACTGGAGCATGCCCAGTAGATGATAACAGCTGGTCTGCACAATCTCAGCCTGCAATGGGGACATAGAGAATATGGGAGGGACAGCTGAAGGCAGGATCAAGCAAGTATAATTCACGCTACAGGAAACCAATGCTTTAGTGGCTTTGTGAGTATGCATTCTCTGCTACGTAGCATGCAATGAGAGTTTTTTATAGTCTGGGTTTAATGACACTTTAACTGATGCTTTTAATATCTGCCTGGAGTTAAAGCTGCACTCTAAGAACAAAAGCTTTGATTAAAATATATTTCTCAATAGCAATAAAAGATTTAAATCCGCTTTGTGTGTACCTTTGCAAACCCGGGTTTACCTCTGTAAAAGAAGCAGTAACATCATCACATCACTGTGTGGTACAAAACTTGTACTGAGAAGAGTTGTAAGAGGGACCCAACACGCCCCACACAGTATAGACTGCCAGCAGAAATCTACAGGAGGGGGTGGAGACCAGTTGTCTTGCACAGGGAGAGAGAGTAGCAGCAATCGGTCTTTATTACAGGAAGCTCCTGCACAAAGGAAAATGTTCATGTTGGATTACTTCACAGCCCTGGAAAAAATACACAAAGCACACCTAAATTCAAATAGGATCACATGTTTTTTTATTTTGACAATTTTAGCTTATCCTGGAGTTCAGCTTTAAACTAGAGTTCAGGTTATGAAGCTGACTCTTGCAGTATGTATCCAATATATAATTTTACATTTTTTTTATTCTCAGGTATATGCAAAGATATTCTGGCAGCAGCGGGGGATACTGTGAAGCAAGAATGTGCACGTTTAAGTATGAAAAAGTTCTAAATCATTTATTATTATTATTATCATTAATAATATAGCCAAATAAAATATTATATTCAACAATAATTACAGAACATTTAGATCCAGTAAAGAATGCAAGAAAAACTCCTTTTGAACCCTATTTTCTATTTTAATTTTTTTTAGGTTCCCTAATCCCTATTATATGATTGTGTTTACTGTATTTTAACCAATTCACCGTTCCGGGTGGACATTATATGACGTCGTCCCAGGCAGACGCAGCAGATCACATGACAATTGTACACCATGGATGGCATTCATTCATGCCATCCATTGTGTTGAGCTCTGTGATTGATCACAGTGATCACATGGTACAGAAAAGGCCAATCGCATTTGTACCATGTGATTAGCTGTCGCCAATCACAGCTAACCACAACTGTACACATTGAATGAATCAATTTCATTCAGTAAAAATGGTTGATTATACCAGTGAAATTCATGCATGTTTATGCTACAAACTTGGAAGAGAGTAAGGAGGCAAATCCCCATGGTGGCAGCTTATATAAAGGAACAAAAACAATTTAACCTCTGCAACTAATAACTGCCCACAAGAACAATCAGTTGGGAATGTGTCTGTCTACTGCTGCCATAAACAGTAAAGGTCACTCAGTATGGCCACAAACAAGTACACATGACAACCGTTGTGACTATAGCCAACATATGGACCAATGCTACTCTACATCTTCTAAAGCTTTTGAAATAGTATCATAGTATTCAGAATTATTATTACCAGAAGGAAATATAACTAACTAATCCTTTTGCCTCCAGGCACGCTCCCCAATGATGGACATGTTGTAACTGTGGCTGGAAATTTGGAGTCCCAAAGAATAATTCACTTGAGAGATGTAACAGAGGAGACCATTGTGACTTTGACGAAAAAAGCTCTGAAGGCCTGCGACCTGTTCAATATGGCGTCTGTTAGCTTCCCACCCCTTGGAACTGATAATCTTGATCCCCAGACATCCATTAAATTAATTATAAAAGGGATTGAAGATTACATGACTAATCCATCTGTCATGACAATCATCTCAAAGATTGTCATCATCGCTGGAGAAAAGAATGTTTATGATGAGTACTTAAAGTTTTTTCAAAACTACCAGGTATATGGAAGGATTTAATGATCTTATTAAGATTTCACATTTTTGTTCCTATAAAATGCAAATAAGCTATTGAATGTAGCAAGATAAAATGCAATTGTAGCCAAATACAAAAGAAATGTTAAGCCAATTATGTGGTTTTTAAAAAAAAAAATACTCATACATACGGTAATTTTAAATAGTACCTTAGTCTATCTTTGTACTAGCCTGCCATAATTAACTCACATCAGCATTTAGCCTTGCAATGGGCCACAACCCAGGCACCAAACACAGTCAGAAAATGGAAAACATAAAACAGTGCAGCGCTACAAATTCCTATAACAAATGAACATATAATATATGCTAATCCAATATATCTCATCCATTATAAGAATATAGTACTGTGGTCACTCCCAGTGACATTAAAATACTAAGTTCCTTGAGTGTCCTAATAGGTGAAACACAACAAATCTTCATGCACCAAGTGCTCCAAACTGAGTGTGAATCCAGTATATCCTCCCACTGAGGAAGTCACGTGCACAAATCGTGACGTGACGCGTAGATACGCCAGTGGGAGGGGCTTAAACGTGACGACCGCGCAGTGATGTCATATGGGTAGGTGCCCATCTTGGTGCACCCTATTAGGATCCACACAGACAGTACACCTATGGTGTGGTGTACAAAACGCTGATGAATAGCTGCATAAATGTGAGTAGACAACTGTAGTGTGGCTTTTAATAAAGTAAACGGTTTTACACTATGTTGGATCTTTTTGCTTTACTGGGGATGTTTATGGAGAGGCACCTGTCCTAGTACCGGGAGGTATTAACTGGACACAAAATCTACCAGAGGAGGAGAGTCCCAC